GCTGTAGGGCAGTGTCAAGAAAGCCTTCAGGCACAAAGAGAGCCCTGAAGCTGAAGTGACCCTTCAGAGTTGTCCCAAACTGGGACAAAGCATTTGGATCTTTATACACCTGCATCGACCAGGCATCGGATGAGGGCTGCCCCAAGGAGGGACATGGCTTTGGGTGGAGGCAATTCCATGAGGACTACCAGCTGAGGGCTGCATGCCCAGTAGCTGGGGGCTAAGTCCCTCGGTCCCCAAGCTGGATCTGGATGGCACACCACTGTGTCCACTACGGAAGGGGAAGAAACCAAGCGAGGGTGTGATTCCATATAAGCTATGGCTTGGAACTTGTGCTAACTTGAGAGAAGAGAGCTGAGCTTTTACATTCCCTCACCCATCAGTCTTTGGCTAGAGACCACCGTGGGAGTGGGAGGTTCGGATATGAGCTCCTAGACACTTCAGGCTCTCTAGTGGTGCATGAACATAGGCAAAGTGGCCGCAAGGGCAGGTCTCAGGAGACAGTCATGGGTGCACAGCATTAGAAGCAAATGCACACAGAAGCCAAGAGATGGGCACAAGGGGACAAAGGAAGGAAGCTGCTGCAGCTTCTACAGATCAGAAAGCATTTCCCACACCGGAGGAGAGCAGCGAATCAGAGAAGAGAGACGGGTCACTAAGCCAAGACCTGCGTCTGTTGAGAGGGCCGTGGGTCCCAGGGGCGCTGGAGGCACACGAGTGCAGGGAGAACCTGAGCCTCCCTCTTGGGCAGAGCCTTGCGGGGAAGGTGGACTCCAGAGGAGAGTCTGTGTGGGTTCCAGATGGAGCCCTAGGTGGCTCAGAGAGGGGTGCAGCCAAAGAATCCCCTGTGCCTGGGAAAGAAAGGCAGGTGGCTGTGGTGGCCCAGATTTCTTGGTATCCCAGGGTGGGTAGGAGCAGCAGGACAATACTGTGACTGGGGGAAGACAGGACACTGGAGCAGCAGAGGACAAAGTGGCCGTCTGTGTGGATGGATGTCGGAGCACCAGGTCAGGCGACGGCATCTCCGTGGATGCCAATGTGAACGCAGAGCAATGGGGACCCTTATGCTGCCTGCACCTTGGCAGGACATCATCACCCCGGAATTTACACGGGAGATGGGGGGCCCTGAACTGACCAAGATCGTGTTCAATCACCTGGACAGATGGAGGCTCAGAATAGAAATCGAGTCCAAGGAAGCTAAAGAAAGCTGAATTTGTCATCCACATGCATTTATGGAATGAGTTTGTCACTGCCACATGGAGTAACTATAATCAAGGTCTTTTGGAACCTTCTGAACTATACACACGATGCTTCAGACGACAGGTGTTTGCTCGGCCTGCTTTAGCTCAGCTTGGTTGGAATTCTCTTTTTCTTACATAAAGAACAAATTAGACTATGATACGTCATGTGAGGACTGAGCCACTGACGGAGGGACAGATTACTCAAGTAACACACAGGCCCCTAAGGCAGAGCATATGCTTTATGGACATCACTTTGATCTGCAGTTTTGACATCACAACCCATGTGCCCAACACATAGAACTGTGTGATACACGTGTGCGCGCGCGCACACACACACACACATGTCTTTTGAGGCATTTATTTCTTTTTCTTCCTCCTTTCTTCATGCTACAGTGCATTGGAAGAACAACAAAAAAAAATCTGAAGACATCTATGCCAGCTTAGAGGCATGTGTGTGAGTGTGTTAGAGTGTGCACACACGCTCACGCTCCTTTTTCACCCAGGGTCTCGCTGCTGCGGTTTCTCTCTTGCAGCTTTTCTTGTCGATTTCAAAGCCCCTTCACAAGTTCAACACTGACAGGGAGAACAATGAGAAGTGAGCTGCGGCTTGGAAATGAACAGCAAGAAGTGACTGACTTTGGGCTACTCTGGCGGGGTAAATGGACTATAAAATGCAATTTCAGATTAAATAGGTGTTCTATGTGTAGCACGATATTGATTTTGTTTCCACGGGCAGAGGCTGAAGAATTGTGTGCAGCCCCTGTGTGTATGAGTGTGTGTGTGTGTTTTTGTGTGTGTGTGTTTATGTGTGCATGTGTGTGTGTGTGTGTGTGTGTCAGTCAACCTGGGAAGAATATGAGGGTGATTTTTAATTTAACTTAACTTCCCAGAAAGAACTTGATGACTAGTATCTTTGGCTTTCAACTCTTCTTAGTATTGAAATAATGGCTCTTCTTCCTCCCCTCTAACGTGTGTGCTCTGATAGCCCTTGTCAACCCCTTTGTAAAAGCCCCTGCCCTCCCCGCTCGCTGGTGACTGCGACATCACGTTCAGCTGTGCACTCTGCTATTCCATCCTCGAGATTTCATCCTTGTCCTTGCAACAGAGTGACGAGACAGGCCACTCTGATTTTCAGAAGCAGAAAAGATGCTGGTGCCCTTCCATCATTTTACCGCCACTGTCCCTTCAACCTCTCCAGAAAACAGAAATGAGATGTACAAGGTCACATGTAGGCACCCCTGGGAGTGTCCCTCCAAATCACTGTTGGAAAGGCACCATCAGTGAGGTTAAAGAGAAATAGGAGCATGGCATCCTGCAGGTGGAAGGGTCGGGGCCTGCCGTGGGCAAAGCTGCGAGATCAGGGATGTTTGTCTTCACTTCCTGCCCTGTCTGTACTTTTAAAAACCCTTTTAGCAAGTCCTGTATATCCCCAAGCTCAGGGCCCACAATATTTTCTATTAACGGCATGTTCCATTGAGCAGAAAAGTAATTGGATTAACTCATCGACACTAATAACTTCATGCATTTGAAGTTAAAAAAAAAAAAAGGCCTAAAAGATATTTTTAATTGCCTTCAAGCATGGAGAGAACAGGCATTCTCTTCTACACAGTGCATGGGGGAGAATTTGGTATACGAAGAGTCTTACAAACCTGCACACCCATTGATTCAGTAATTCCCTTTCTAGGACTTTATCTTAAGATAATAAGTGGAAATATGCAACAAAATGTATGCACTTGGATGTTCACTGTAGTATAATTTATAATGGCAACAAACTAAAAATAACTTAAATTTTAAAAATAGAGTGCACTAAGATTTTATAGAGGCAAGAAACAGAAGCCAAGACTAACCGGCTTTCAAAGAAACAGGGGGCGCTGGCGACGTTCAGATCAGTGTGTCTGGTGGGAATGAGGTCCAGAGCGGCGCAGGGCAGCTCCGCCTTTGACTTTTGCGGCTTGCTTGTGGGTGAGAGGACAAATGGAGGCCGCATTCCAGAGGTGGAAGTATTTAAAAGTTATCCACCAGGCAAAGGAGCAGCTAAACATAGTGTTCTGGCCTCCTACCTTGACAGATATCCCTTGAAAACAAGCTGGAGTGCCAGACTTCTCAGCAGATGCAGCCTGCGGGGAGCCAGACTCCCGTCCTGGGTCCCCCCGCCTCCTGGCCCCCTGTTCCCTGGCCCCAACCCACTCTCCTCTTTTCACCTCCTGCTGTGGCCTGCATCTGAGGGACCTTGCTCACACACCACACCCGTGTGCACCCACCAGCCTGCACATTCAAGTCCACCTGCACCCACCACAAACCACCACTTTGTCTACTATTTGGACCTCAGAGTGCACATACCAGCAACGTGAAATGCCTTTGAGGGGATGGACCCAGGGAAGGGGGCCACAGAGCCCTCAAGCTGGTTTAGGCCATGTGGGTTGGGAATTCAAGGATCCTGGTTACCAGAGTGTGGTTTAGGAGGGGAGGACACGGACTTCCTGCGAGTCCCCCTCTAAGTCCCCATGGGAGGGCCTGGCTGGAAGACAGGTGAAGCAGGGGTCCCAAGGCAGGGGCCCCCTCTTGCCTGAGTCCAAGGACAATGCTGCAGCTGAACCCGGGAAGGGGTCTGTATTCATTTCCTGTCATAACAAAGTGCCACAAACTGGGTGGCTTGAAACAATGGAAGTTTACTCTCTCATAGTTCTGGAGGCCAGAAATCCAAAACCAAGTTGTTGGTAGGGCCATTCTCCCTCTGGAGGATTCAAGGAAGAATCTTTGCTTCTTCCAGCATCTGGTGGCCCCAGGTGTCACTTGGCTTGTGGTGGCATAACTCCAATTTCTGCCTCTATCTTCAAATGGCTTTTTCTTCTGTTTCTGTGCCCTTTCCTCATCTTATAAGGACATGAGCCACTGGATTTAGAGCCCATCTTAAATCCAGAATAATTTCATATCAAGATCCTTAACTACTTACATTTGTAAATATCTATTTCAAAATGAGGTCACTTTCTGAGGTTCCAGGTGGATATGAATTCTGGGGTTCACCATTTAAGCCAACACAGGACTGAAGCCAGACATTGAAAAATCAATGGGAATCCAAGGAGTTTCTATCCTTCCATCTTCCTATCCTTCCTTTCTTCTCTTGGAAAATCTGCTCCTTTCCTCTGTATCTTAGCCAACTGTTTGTTTCTGCTTCTTCCTCATGGGGAGATGTGGCTGCCCCAGGGTTCTCCAGAATTGTTTGCAACCCTACAAGAAACTGGGTCTCCAGGCCCCAGTTTTCATTTCTTAGGAGGGAGAATCTTCCTAATTGAGCTTGGATCATGAGTTCACTTCAGGTCAATAAATTTTGACCAGAAGCACAGACCCAAAGTGATGTCATAGCTCTTGGGCGAGGACAATTAATTCTCTGAGTTGGCTTGTGAACCAAATGGACACCCCAAAGAATGTCTAAATACACAGAGAATTGGTTAAATTATAGCATAGTCATATAAAGGAAAACCATACAACCATTAAAATTGTGTTTCAGAAGAAATGTAAATGTCAAGGTAACATGGTGCTATTAAGTGGGATAAGCAAGATATAAAACAGTATATGTATAATATACTCATATGGTTACTAAACACCCACAGAGTTAAGGATAGAAGAATATATACCAAAATATTTACAGTACTGTCACTAGATGATAAATTATGCACATGGGTTTTATTTTTTGTTGGTTTTTTCCAACAATTTATTTTTAAATCATTTGAATTTCTGTTAAATATACTTGATGGAAGATTTCTAGCATAAAATAGTGACTTATAAATAGGAAAATCTAAAGCATAAATGAGGGAAATTTGAGGGTAATCTCCAGGGGATGTCTGTTGGGTTATCTGCCTAATGCATAAAGATTCCAGTTTTTCTGAAATTTGACAGGTGCCATCACCTGTAAACTCCACATGCAAAGGGGCTGACGATTCCTCCACGTGGGCCAGGGAAGCAGAGAAACTCAATCTGCAGAGGGAAGAGAAGATACTGAAGCTGACATCAAAAGTTACGAAGATAAAAATATAGAGACTCTGGACAGCTCTTTAGATCTCATTTAATCTTTTCCCAAGAGCTCTTGACATTTCTGCTCCTAGGTTCATTCTGACAGTTCTTTATGTGTACAATGTCTTTTTAGGTTTAAATAAGCTCTAGTAGATTTCTGTTGCTTGCAACTGAAGAATTTTGACCAACAGAGGACCCTTCACAGTTCCTCCAAATCATAACTCACAGGTGAGCATGGGCAGGTATACCCAGCTCTAGGAAGGGTTCAGTAAGCGAAATCCTCAGGTGTGAGGATGAGCCTTCTGGATAAAGCAATGCCCCGAGTGTCTAAGGAACAAAACAATGAATAAGTCAAAAGTGATCAAGGTAAGAGGATGGTGAGAAAGCAGAGGTGAGCAGGAGGCAGATCACATGATGAGTGAGCTCTAGAGTCTGGAATGTTGACAGAAATTGCTTCGGAATGCCCCTCCTACTGACCTCAGGTAATCTTTAATTCACATTTGGTCACCACCCCATGAAGAGCCAGCTTGTCTTTTATGAAAGTCAAATCAGTTCCTAAATCAGTGAAGCTTTTGCCGACCTGACCTTCATGGCCATCAAGTTGGCCAGATGTCCTCCAGTCCCCCTGTGTCTGACTCCCACACGGCACAGCAACCATCCTAAAGCCTGGAATGTTGGGTCTCTGGACGATATATGATTTCCTGGCTCCACCTGCTACAGATAGCTCTGCATAGAGCCCTCAGGCTCAATTTTCTTCCTTGACCAAAATCCAGATCAATGTCTCATGTCCCTCAAGTTCCATTTCCCAGTTCTCTTTACAGCAACTGTATCCCAGGACCCTTAAATGTCAGGCAACACTTCTGTATGGCTTCTCGGATCCCGGTGTCTTATTGTCACTGTTTAAATATCAGTACCACATTAACAGATTATTACCTATTGAGTAAAATAAGAATCCACGAGTCCACACTGATATAAAAAAAAGAACAATAACAACAAACAATAGTAGGAGAGAAAGGAAAGTGGAAAGGCAACTAATAACTGTAGCACGAATAAGGAAATTAGGAAATTATCATTTGATAAACATCATGGTTACAATTGATTCAGGCAAGAATCGCCAATGGTTGCTAAAACCGGTGAAAACCCGGTGAAAGCTTAATGACAAACAGGCTATTTACCTAATGTAAAGTATCTCACCACAAGATTATTTTTAGTTACAAAGGGTGAAAATAGTAACTTTATAGTGGAGAAACCCAGCAGGCTGAACTTTAACCAAGTGATCAAAGTTAACCGCACCACTAACCCGACAAATCAACGTCCTGCCTGCTAATGTAACACATGAGGATGTCACACTCCTCTGTGGCATTCCTGCCCCAAATCACCAACTGAATCTACTTATGGGGAAATAGCACACAAATCCAAATTGAGAGGCATTCTACACAAAGTTCAAGTTCACGAAAGACAAAGACTTCTGAACTATTCTAGTTTAGAGGAGACCAAAGAGACAAAACAATCAAATGTAGCACATGATCCTGGACTGGATCCTGAGCCAGAAAAAAAAAAATACTTCATTTTGCTATAAAGGATATGACTAGGACAGTTAAAGAGCTCTGGACAAAGTGTATAAATTAGATAACAATATCAGAAGAATTTAAAAAGGGCATAACACCTGCACCTTAAACTCAAACAGTTTAGAAAAGAAAATTATATATCTTAGGTATATTATTAAAATGATATATATGTAGAGTCACATGCAAACACACATGGAGCGAGAATATGACAAAGAAATGTGGTAAAGGCAAAATGTTCACATCTGGCGATTCTCGGTGAAGTTATTTTGGGAATTATTTTGTTCTATTGCAACTTTTCTCTAAGTCTGGAACTGTTTCCCAATCAAAATTAAATAAATACCACTCCTATTCCTTAGGACTGAGCAGTAGTGCCCCATTTTTCCAATGGTTGATAAAGTGTCACTTTATTTCAGCTCAGCGTTGGCTTTGGCTTCATGGTGAGGGTCACTTCCGAAGTCCCCCCTGTTCTCCTCCAGCTGTTTGGTGATTGTCAGTGCTGGCCTTGTCCCCACCACTGTGGATGGACCCAGGGGGCCTCCCCGCTGTGACAGTCACCCAGCTGGTGTGTGGGGGGGGCGGGGAGCGTCTGCAGGAAGCAGGGAGGTGGCTCAGGCCGACTCCTCCAAGGGGCTACACGGGGCTGCAGAGTGGAGGAGCAGCTCTGCTCTCTTCCAGTGGGAGCTGAATATGACGCTGAGGCGAGGAGGTGACATGGAGGGAGGGGAGCATCTCTGCTGTCACCCTCCCCTCCAGGGGCAACCTGGAGAAACGCTTGAAAGAGTGTTTCCCTCTAACCTCTGTTGTCAGGTATGTCTCCTGGGCACCCTAGAACTTACGAAAAGTTAATCCTTCCCTACTAGAATCCTTCCCCTTTATACACATGCACACACACGACGTGTACGCACACACAGCCCACACATGCCTGCGTATGCACACATGCGCACAGAGCACATCTCCCTGCATGAAACTTCCCCAGGGTCCTATCTCGGTCTCACGTCACCCAGTGCCCAGAAACGGAACATCAGTGGTTAAGCGTGACATCTGGGTGCAATCGCCAGTCAGGAACGCTTTGCAGGGCTCCAGGTGTGAGCAGGGCGCTGCTTGCTTTCCAGAAAATCCTAAGTGCCCAGTGTAAGATATCTGCGTCTGGTTCTCTCAGACACGTCATAAAACCTCGGAACTTATATGCCGATGGTAAATGTCCTTAGCAGTTAGTTGTCTTCCCTTGGAGGTTTCAATGGGGCATTCATTGAGGGAGAAAAAAAAATACATTCTTGCCGTCCCTGGAGGGAAATAAATGAAATACTTCAGACATGATAGCAGACCGCGTGGTCATCATGCTTAATTCGGGCAGGGTGGCCGAGGTGTCAGGAACCAGCTCTCCACAGATATTCCGTGATCAGAGCTCAGAGGGGACCTCTGCGAGTCATCGTCTGGAGTGAGGTTTGGCTTCTTGAGACGGAACCGGCAGGCGCTCACAGGGGGTGGAGACAGGGTCGTGTCTGGGAACCGGCTAAGTCATGAGACGGAGCCTGCGGCTGCTGGTGACTTCATCTTCCACAGCACAGAGGTGTGGGGCCCGCACTCCACGCTGCCACCTGGGCAGAGGTGGGGGGAACAGGCGAGGGGACCAGAGATGTCACAGGTAATTTGTGAGGGCGGTTGTTCTAAAGGGGCCTTCACAGAAAATGTTTCTCCTTCAAACACTGAGCTCGCCTGGCCTCCAGCCGTGGGGGAGGGGTGACTCAGCAGAGCCTCTCCTTGGAAGGCCCCCCTCGAAGGAAACCAACTTCGGTGAACTTGGACGAACAAATGCTGTGCTTGGCAGCTGGGAAAGAATTTGATTTCTTCTGAAGAACAACAGGGCGGGACTGACTGCTGATTAAAGCTACATGACTTACCACGATTGTGTTCTCGAGAGGCTGTCTAAATCTTTCCTTAATTTAAGTTTGTCTGGCTCTGCATACCGGCCATGAGTTTTGTAGAGACAGTTTATTTCAAAGACAGACTCGGCAAAACTTACGGAGTCCCCTCCTTCTCCACTGGATATCACAAAATCCCATCTTGATGCCAATAGAGGACACCATGCTCTCAGGGACTTGGACGAAGTTTCACTTTGAAACCTTGTTTTAAAGCGTCCAGGAATGATAGATCATCTCATGGAAAAACTGGGAAACTGCTAGTGCTAGTTACTAAGACAGATTTTGTTCACAAAGGTTTGGGCCCAGAGGTCTTTTTGGTGAGCAACTCGGTTTACCAAAGCTGCAAAATCTCAAAACGGCAGGATGCAAAGTGAATTCCTTAAGAATAATGTTTTGCAATGTTCTAGTAATCTGTCACGTATTTGCTCATCTCACCCTCTCAATAATCTTTAACAAATATTTACTGACTTTCAGCAAATATTTCTGAGTGTCTTGTAGACTTTGTAACTAAGTGAGGCACTTGGGACAGCACAGGGAACAGACAGTGTGGTCTCTGCCCTCACAAATTTAGCCAGTCCCAGAAGAAGACAGTAATTATAAATGCTACTTAATTCCAAGATGGAACAATTTATTTCCTTCATTTTACCAAGAAAAAAACTGAGGTTCGCTGAGGTTCAGGTATAATTCCTCATGCTCAAAATGGGAGGAGAGAGCTATTGCCTTTTCTATTATGTCATGCACTTTCTTAGGATAAGTAGTTTTGATTTGATTGTTTTATTGGGTGACATTTCTTTGTGACAAAGATGTAAGTTCAGGTGAGAATTTGCTGTGTAAAATTAACTAATACTATAGAAATGTATTAAATCTAGGCATTAGATTTCCACTACATATTCTATTTTTGGGCCCATTTTTGTTGTACTGGTAAATTCTGAAAAAATATCAGAGTTCTCGTGTCCATTACATAGAGTCATACTAAGACTTTGAGAAGGCATGACTGAATGCAGCTCCTCAAATCTATCCTTCTCGATCACAGGTTGCCTATGTTCAAAATACCCTTACAACAAAATGCACAAGATCAGATGGTTTTACTCTTTTCTGTCTACTCTGTGCTTAGAACTATGCCTGACACATAGTAATTGTTTGATAAATGTTGAATGAATAAATGATTGGTTTTAGCATTATTTTAAAGAAAGAAAACCCTAAAAACTTAGGGTTTCTTCTCCATGATCTTAAATTTTGCAAACCGCCCTGATTATTCACTTGAACCTACACAACCCATAAACTCCAATGTCAAGGTGAACATTCTTAATCTTATATAAGAAAATTTCAATTAGCCAAGCTAATTAAGGAAGGCTGGTTCTCAAATAATTTCATAAATTAATAGTACCAGCATTGTTATAATAGAATGTCTCAGAAGATCTTTCCCAAAAGGCATGGTTTAGTTGAAAATGAGCTGAACGGTATGTAAACATACTTGGAATCATCTTGAAGCATGTTTCAATGTGCGTGTTGACCATACATCTTTGATACAGATTTAATTTTCATTAGGCTGACTACAACATTCAGAATAGATAGTCAATATTTTCTATGATGACAAAAGTACAATTTGCAAACTTCTTGCTTCTACTGGGGGAAATGAAGAACTGAGCGGAAAGGTAGCAGCCAAACAAACAAGAGAAGTGAAGGTAAGAGCTCCAACAGGAGTTGGACAAGATAACTTTGGGCAGAAAGCGATTATGTTTTGGGGACCTTCCAAGGGGTTCTGTACCTCAAGGTTGTCTCACGTAGTTGTGTGATGAATGCTAGAGCATGCGCATGGAGCTCTGAATCATCATGAGTCACTTGGCTTTGGTCCACCCCAGTGGCATGCTGCTCTTGTCCAATGATGCCCTGGTTCATGCTGTTTGGCTGATCCACTGGGAAATCCAGACAAGGGAGGGGACCAAGGTCCTGCACATAGAGTGACCAGCCAGACCTCGTAGCATCAGACTGTGATTGGTCCCACTGCTGGATCCCTTTTCCCCATGGAGGCAGCTTACGAGATGTGATGAAGTTGAAATTCCATGTTGTAAATTCCTCCTAAGACTAAGAATTGGTTCCACCACCGGAAGGGACCGCTTGATGAAAGATGACTCAGAGTCATTGAAAATGACAGGCTATATTTTGCAATATGACCTTGTTTTCTCCTTAAATTTATTGCCCAGTAAACTGGATGTTCATGGGAAAGAATTTTCAGGCTCCCTCATATTTGTCTTTGGAATGTATTTTTCTACATATGGTAGCAGACAGCAGCTCCACAAAGGATTGTGGACAGAGATCATTTGCCGCAATTATATCATGACAAACATGAGAAAACTGAGGGACAAATATGAGAAATAGAGGTGCTTAAGTAACTTGTTCAAGGTCATCAGATTAGTTAGTATCTGAAGTTAGACCCAGGATTCAAGATTTCCAGTATTTCAGACCTGATTTCTAAGCACATGCAGACAGACATTCCAAATCAGACTCCTCCCTCCCTCTTAAAGTCATTATTTATTTGAGTATCTTTTTCTTTTTCTGGAACTAATTACAAACTTATAGTTTGGCACCAAGCCAAGCCCAACTATTATTGCTTTAGGCTCTATTAGGGTAAATATCTAAGGCAGAGATTTTCTGACTGTGCTTTCAGGGGCCCCAGCCTGGGTATGGGCACATGAGAGTGTGTGTGTGCAGCTCACGTGTGCGATGGGGGCAGGGCTTGACCTCTTGTCCCTCAACTTTTATAAGATTACCTCCATGTTATGTACTTACTCCTAGTAAGATTTTATTGGAAAAACAACAAAACCCTGCCTATAGTGTCAGGCATTCCTTGGCAATGTACATCACCATATCCTACACATCACTGGTTCCTAAACTTTTGGGCACCAGGGACTGGTTTCGTAGAAGACAATTTTTCCATGGATGGTGGGTGGTGGGGGCAAAGAGTGGGCAGAGCTCAGGTGGTGATGCGAGTGATGGGGAGTGGCTGTAAATATAGATAAGGCTTTACTTGAACGCCTGCCACTCACCTCCCGGCCTGCGACCCAGTTCCTAAGTTTCATGGAAGACAATTTTTCCACGGACCGAGCAGGGGTGGGGGGATCTGGGGAAGGTGGAACTCAGGCAGCCCAGTTCCTAACAGGCCACAAAGTATGGGTCCGTGGCCCAGGGGTTGGGGACTGCAGCCGTAGATACCTTCTCCTGAATCCCAGAAGACAAATTTCTGTTTTCATTGTAAAATTATTATTTATAGTTTCTAGTCTATACCATTGACTGTTCTGTAACTTTGGGCTTTCTGCTCCTCATGCTCCATTCATTATTTGTTGGCTGGTTTTTATTTGTTGGGTCTCTTGCTTGTACGTGGAATCACCAGCATGCCTGATAGGCATTTCATAAGCAGAATCATTTTATCTTATGTGTACCTGAAAGTCAAAATCTCACAATACAGCAGTGCGCAAACGCACAGAATTTATCAGTTTAGGCCACAGGGCTAATACAGATGCTCCTTGACTTGTGATGGGGCTATATCCCGATAAGCCCATTGTAAGTTGAAAATACTTGAAGATGAAAATGCATTTAATACACCTAACCTACAGAGCATCATCGCTTGGCCTGGCCTCCCTTAAATGTGCTCAGTTTGCATTTGCCTGCAATTGAGCAAAATCACCTGGCAGCACAATGAACTGTACAGCATCCGTTGTTCACCCTCGTGATCCTGTGGCCGACTGGCAGCTGCGGGTCGCTGCCACTGTGCAGCTTCTCGAGAGAATGTCATATGTCATGCCGCATATCACTAGCCTAGGAAAAGATCAAAATTCGAAACTCAAAGTACAGTTTCTACTGAATGCTTATTGCTTTTGCACCATCATAAAGCTGAAAAATTTTAAGGCAAACCATCATAAGTTGGGGACTGTCATACATCAGATCAAGCCACATCAGGATATTACTTTTCACAATAAATGTGCAGACCGGACCATCCCTATGCCCAGGGGCTAGACCCCAAATATCGTGGGGACCCCCTCTCCTCCCTTCCACGTCCCCAACCCAGTTTTTGACCTGAAAGGAGGTCTTGATTTGGAGGAATATGAAATGTGGAAATTGTTAAGTGATTTAGCTGTGAATTCAACTGGAAAATAACCGGGTAGCTGTGGCTCATTCACAAGTAAATAATGTACCTGAAGGTATCTGAAAATTATCTTTCTTTCAGGAGCATTTTTTTGCTGGCTCTGCCTCAGGGCAAATAACCACGGGAGGGTTAATATAGAGAGTTCTTGTTAGACAATACCTTGTAACCAGGATAGACTAATTAGCTCTTCCCTAAGAGTTCATGTTGAGGTTAGAGAGAGCAGGAGAACAGTGGAGACTGCAGTGGAAGATGGAGTGTCACGGGGGTGTGGAGGGGGAAAGAATCAGGTGATGGTATGCAAGGGGGAGATGCGGAAGACCAGCTGTACCATTTGTTATAAATTAAAAAGAGGCATAGAGAGCTAAAGTTTGGAATTTGAAGCCATTTTTTTTTCCTGACTTGTCAAGTGCAAATAACCCAATGCAAACATATACTAGATATCACAGGCTTAAGACTGTCTCACTCATTATGCACATCCAGTGCCTAATATAGAGCCCAACACATTGTAGTCACTCCTTAAATGTTTATTGTTTATAGTAAATAAATGAGTGTTTATACATATCCATGTATATGTGTGTTTCTCTATCAGAGAAAACAATTTCCTATTTCTTTGGTTGATGCATTTCGTGGTCTATATGAAATTAGATGCCTCTTTATCTAATATGCATGCAATTGACCATTCTGAACTAAGAAATTGGACTTCTCTCAATTCTGATTCTCTTAGATGGAAATTGAGATAAATATTTAACCATCCTTCTCTGTGCCCTCATGGAATTGTATGGCATCCTTGAGCTACCTAATTTAGCATTGAATGTAGAAGTTAAACTACTCCTCTCTCATTACAGAAGAGGTTAAAGTTAGTACAAAAATAATATTCTTCTTCACCTATAACATGAAGCAAAACAAAAATATGCAAAAATATTTTGAGATATGAAATCCATAAAGACTTTTGACAAGAACATACTAATTTAGTGATGGACCTATGATGTTTTTATGACTATGAGCTCATAAAGTTATATCAGAGATTCTTTAAAATAAAAACAAAAGCCACACATATATTTTTCTGTTTTTTAAGAAAAATAGGTATGGTATTTCCTAATCCATGGAGTTTCCATTCACAGAAAGGGCTAAGGAAGGAAAGAAAAAGTCACAGAAAGGCACTATATTAGCCAAATGAACCAAATCAGAAAAGGATAACACTATTTGCAATTTAACCAGCCAAGTTAAACATGACATGATTAGAGCCAATCTTTGGGGACCAAGTTAGTAATAATTGTCCCTTGTTTTACTTGGCCAATTAAAGGCCAAACTTTTCTAAATTGGCTATTTTCAAAGCAATCACACCTCTGCACTTGGAATTTTTTTTGGCTTGTCATTTTTAATTTAGGTATCTGACTAGTTAATGGATGTATGTGTACACAGATCCATGCCTAAATATTTGCACATAATACAACATTAACACACATTTGTATTGGGCAGAATAATTGACTTTTTATTAATATGCTCTTTAATCCAATCAGGGTCATATATGTTTTTTCATGCCTAATAACTGCCAACATCTGGAGAAAGTATCTAAACTAAGGGAAGAATCCTTAGTTAGGCTAAGGGAAGAGCATTAGAAAGTAACTATTATAACACCATAAGAAAAAATAATCCAGCGAAAGTTAGCAAGAAGACTAAAAGTTTGGTTTTTTCCCACCAACCATGAGTGTATCATCACTTACTTCATCACCTTCAGTCAGTTAATGATTGTTGAATGCTCATTCTGCACAGAGAACTGCTCTCGACTGGGCCCTGGGGGATTCCAACCAAAGCTCCAGAAATCATCCCTATCTCAAGAAGTATCTGCTCCAAGAAGAAACCAAGAAGAGAGCCAGACTGTGTGGGGAATGAATACGAGGTACTGAGAGCTGGAATCAGCTACGCAACTTCATGTGGTGGGATAAAAGTATGTACATAAGTATTGCCGTGTAGGACACAAAAAAGGAGAAAAGAAAGGAGATTGGTGTAGCTGTATGAATGGAGTTCCAAAGAGTTAGTCAAAATGATTTTCTGGGGAAGCTCAGTAGAATGAGCCCTGGAGAGGAGAGGAGGGGGCTCACAACTAAAGGAAGTCTTTTAGCCTTGTAGGGGGGAAAAAAAGCAATATGTGCTCTAAACTAAGGGAAATAGACGTTTCCAATGCCACTAGGACATAGGACAGATGTGTTTTTACATGAAGTGTGGATCCACATGTATAAGCTTGAGCAGACTTTAATTCTCAAGATCTAAGAACGTTTTCTACCTAGCAGAATGAGTGGTTGCTTAAGAATTCCCACACCATGTTGTGTGCATTGTGGTTAATTGTGTCATCAGCTGTTCTACACGCACATTCCATTCTTTCTCTGTGGAGATGAAAACCTTAACACTGTCACCCGTTTTGATCAATGGAGGGACTTCATTACAGGGAGGTAATCAGATTGCAAGGTGAGGATCTAGCAGAAGTGGAATCAAATTACATCTCCTACCCTGAGGCAATGTGCTGGGGCGTGGCCTGGAAGAACTGGATCCCACCTGCTTCCAGAAAGAACTGAGAGCTCTCTCTTACCCTCTTTTCCTTCCAGGAGAGGGGAAAGCTTCTTTCTCAAAAGGAGATGGTGCTGTCCTCTGTGATGTTTCCTTGGCCAAGATAGTAGTGGGTATCCCAGATGGAGGCATGGGATCGTAAAAGATGGGCTCGCCCCTGACATGGCTCCTCCTTCTTCCTGGCCGAAGTGATCCTTCTCCTACTCACAGGTCTAAATGTTTCTGCCCCCAAGCACTGGGAGCCTGGCTGGACTAAGAAAGCGTGGGTCAAAAACCCAGGCCAGAGCTCTCGTTACTCTCTGGCGCCTTCTGGAAGTTTCGACTGGCCTTTCTTCTCTCCAGAGTGAAACAGAAAAGGCTTAGATTTGGGGAAGAAACAAATGACATCAGGCCTGTCTACTTCGATTTTAGGCAGAGCTCACTTAGGCCCTGGCCCAGTTCATACAGATGCATCGTGTTTTCGTGGCTGAAGTCCCAGATGAAAACAAAGTGTTGCTTGGCTTTGTACGTTATTTTTTCGTGCATATATTTTATTTTGGGGGCCTTGTGCAGAGGTAAAACTACTTGAAGACAGAATTTACATATTCTAAAAATTATTTGTGGCCCAATATCATTAAAATGCCCAAATTAACTCTCATAATGATCATTTTTTAACGTTACTCCAATCTGTAATCTCCAACAAACGTGGGCTTGTAATTGGCCCCATGAACAAATTTCAGTGACCCCTATATATTTTTTTATAATCCTCCCCCTTAACTAACTACCTGACATTATGAGTTATTTCCCAGAAATAGTGGATTTTCTACAAGACAAAAGAGCTGAGATTCTGAAGGCCCCTGGGTAGACTTCCAGATGCCAAAACTCACCATCCCCCTCCATCCGTCCCCAAGAGACCTAGCCCCTTGTTAGTTACATCACGACCTGCCCCAAAGAACATGGCCCCTCCTTTAAAAGCCCATGATCTCTGTTAGTGGAGAGAAGGATTTGAGGCAGCTTCTCCCATTCTCCCGACAAGATGTCTGTCATATCAAAAAATTCCTTTCTTCCTTGCCAAGCCTTGTTGTCTAAATAATTGGATCTTTGTGGAAAGAGCAACTGGACTTAGGCTGAAAGCCCCTTGTGGTTTCGACAACAGATTCTAACATTGCTTTATACTCTTTGTTGAGCAAGTTGTTTTCTTCCAAAATATTTTCTTTTCAATGATAAAGCTTGATGATTGGCCAAAAAAAGATCTTGGCCTGATACCTGATACCGTAAGATATGTTCCTTAATCAACATTTATTTTAGCAGACCTATATTGAATCCCAACTGTGTACGAGGTACTGTGGAGAGTGTTGGGACTACCAAATTGAATAACCATGGCTTCTGCCCCTGATCTAGGGAGAGACAGATCCATAATAAATGATTCCCGAACACAGTCATAAATAAATAGACCCAAGGAACCCATGTTTGGTCATGTAGGATGTTCAACACAAGAGATGACATAGTAGTGTCAAAGGTCTCGGGTTGGCTGAAAGGAAATCCTCTTAAAGAGAATTAACTTTGTGATTGGTAAAGGAAAAAAATAGAGAAAGAAAAAGACAGTGGCACATGGGGGAACAGCATTGAATAAACCAAAGTACTGCCCTTATAATTCTTTCAACCCCATGAAGAATATGTGTGGATTAAGTATGTCTTTTTATTCTGATGTTTTCATAGGTGGGGCCTTGCTGGCCTTTCCAGGGCTAGCTAGTTCCTAGAGCTGGCACAGGACTGGTCTGTAAGAACACTTTCACATGCAAACCAACCAATCCACAGCACACCCCACCACTACCTCCTTCCTTGGGCTCTCACACTCTGGGCCATTCTCCACCTGCCCGAATTAGCTCAGACCACCTACCAGATACAGGGACAGTCCCTGTGCCCCACAGCCTACTGGAATTATTCACCCTAGCTAAGCCTAAATCTGCTTACCCTGCATCCTACTTTCTTCCTTTGGAAACCACAATAAAGGTTCAACCCATGTCCCCCTCACTCCCTCTGCCTCCTGACTGGCCCTGTGTCCCCACTCCATGGAGTGGCATGGCATCCTCCTTTCTTGGGCTCTGAATGTATAAGAAGCTATAATTTCAATGACAGTTGTCTCCTGATCTGTTGGTCTCATACCTGAATAATTGTAAAACGAGTTACATATAAATGGAAGATTGTGAAAGGCTATACAGCAAAAAGGAAACACAAGACCCTAAGACTTCAGGAGAGAGGAAGGAGTTTGACGGTGCAACTGGATAGAGTGTGGGATGGAGGCCAGGTGCCAGGTACCAGGTGCCAGGTGCCTGGACGGCAGGCACAACCCCTGACTTCAGCTACCAGGAGTGAAGGGAAAGACATTTGAAAGAAGGAACTTAGGCTCCACAGGCAACTTGAGCTTTTACTGCCTTAGAGTTTGTTTTCTGTGATTTCCTTTTAAGTACATTTCTATCTCCTAACCTTGTGACCAGGATGCTGGTGAGCGAGTCGGCAGGCTTATTTACACGCGTTTCAGATATGCCTAAGGTTGTCAGGATAAAGACAGGAGACAGGGCTAGAGAAGGGAGGGGGACATGCTGACGCTGGAAGTTCCTTGCCACCTGTCACTCCGTCACACTAATGCTCTCTTCTTCTTAAAAATTTAATCTGAGCATCTTGCTCTCCTATTTTAAACACACTGATTCCCAACACTATAAAATTTGGAATACAAAGGCATGTAGAGTTCAGTTGGAACCTACCCTTCCAGCACTTCCACCCACTGGACTTACTAAACCTTCAATTTCTTGAAATTTCTCAGCATTTCTTACAAAGACTATGCCTTTATAACCAGTGGAGTACTAACAGAAAAAAAAAAATAGAGAAATGGGAAAGCAAACCTTCATTAATAGATAGACCCAATCCGGCTCACTGCATAGACAGGGCTCTCTGATAAACACATGATTGGGAAACATGGTTCCTTTTCAGGGTTGACTCTATCTGTCCATTTCATCACAAATACCCAACTGGTGACTTACACACTCAGGGGCACTTGCAGGGAGAGGAGGATAAGCCAGATCTGCAGAACAGGTGCCAAATACCTTTACACAACCAGCCTCCCAGATGTGGCCAGAGACCTTCACCTACTCACTGGCAGGAGGAGGAAGAGAGAGTGGGGAAGACAGCCTGGCCTGTCTACATGACTTGCCATGGCAAGGCTGGATGTGCAAAGGGCGTCAGGACTGACCTACCGAACTTACATAGTGCAGCGACCCTGCTCAGGGCTAAAGCACTACTCCTGGGATGTTAAGTTCTGATTCACTGGCATGCAGGGGCATTTGCAAATATGGTTTTCACCCTCCATCCCCTGAGGCTGAGAGGGTGACGTACCAGTGATATACCTTTTTTTGAGTCTAAGAGTGAAATATGGGAAAAAGGAATGCAGCACCTCTCCATGAGCAAATGTATGAATGAGTGAATGAATTCCAGGCAGAGGGGAGAGAATGTATCTAGACTTTTACAGTTTTATATAGTAGGCAGCAATACTAGGACTGAGACCCCAAAGAGCCACCTGGCTAGTCTCATGGAGAAACTTATTACACAAAGATGGGAAGGTGGGTAGGGAGGAAAAGACATGGGTATGGTCATCAGATTTTACTATGCTTAAGAATGAATTAAGGTTTAGGAGTCAAAGATATGCCTGCCCATCAGTAAGAAAAAGTCATACAACTTAAAAGAATGATAAGCACATGGTATGAACATGAAATTCATAAAAGAGAAAGATTCTCAATCTGTCTAGGAATCAGGAAAACAAAAATTAAATGGATGAGATGTTCTTAGCCCATCATTAGTAAAACTTTAAGGAGTTTGATAATATCAAGTGTTGATGGGGAGGTGAGGAAATGCAATAGGAACCATCCTATTAATACATTCTTGATGGGAGTGTCACCCAGGACACTCCTAGCCCCTTAGGAGAAAGTTGACAGTTTCTATTAAGATTTAAAATGCATATTCTGTCTACACTCAGCAATGGTCTAGAAGGGGGATTCTGTACGTATCAGGGGATGTGCAAGATTTATTGAGGATCAGGGAAAATATGATAACTTCTATTTATCATTTATGTTTAACTTTATGCCAGTCTTTTAAATTTCTTGTGGCGAGTCTGTTTTTGAGTGGGCTGCTATAGAGCATTGCCTAGATGCCCTTTCAGGACAGAGGCTCTTGTTCTCCAGCGGGCAGGACAGTTGACGGCCAAAGACTCATGTTTGGACAGCTCCTAGGAAATTGCCCTTGGCCCATCCTGGGCAGCACTGATGACTGGTCGATGTGGGGATAGAAAGCCTAGTCCCTTGCCTCAATTCTGGGCAACTCTGAAGGGCCATTGCAGCTCCTGAGCTCCTGAGGGATCCACCGAGCCCCCTGTGGCACCTGCACGGCAGTTAATCCTTCTCTCTTGGCCCCATCCTGCTCTCCCCAGTAATTCCTCTGTGCAAATCTCAGAGCCCCAGAGTCTGTTTCCTGGGAACTGACCTAAAGCAGTTTCATAGTACATACATTGGTACAAAAGCACATGCATATAATTTGCAGATACAAAAATGCACGGTACATGCTCAAAAGTATTTTTTACTGATGGGGTTGCATGATCAGAGAAGTTTAGAGATCAATGCCTATTATAGGTTGAATTGTGTCCCCACCCAAAATTCGTATGTTGAAGTCCTAACCCCCAGAATATCAGAATGTGACGTTGTTT